TATTTCCTCAACTTAAAATACTTTCTTTGTAAAACTAGCCAGTTTCCTAAAGTCAAATAAGGTTTTCCTCTAACTTGTCATAGTTAAAGTTTAGTACAAAAATAATCAAGAAATGAAAAAGACATCTTGCCAATTGTTGTTTCTGCTGCTGGGAAACTTCTGTAATTTTTTCTTGTTGAATATGAAGATTAGTTGCATGCTAAGGCTAGGCTACTAGCAAATTTTTGTACTATCCAATTATTTTATTTTAAATATTAAATTTATATTAAGTTATTTTATGTAAAGCTAAGCAATACTTCATTAACCCCTGACAAACTTATGGCTTCAAATATTTAACCACATGGTTTTCACACAAAGTTTACTTGATGGGCTTATTTGTGATACTACTTAACAAGTAGCTTGCTTTGGAATATGGTAGAGAGAATATAAATGGATCAGTGATTAAATAAAATGTCATCTTGAATGTCACTGACGACCAGCAGCGGCACTAAAAAGACAAGGCTTACTCTTGAGGGTCTGGGAAAAGCCAGAACTGCAACCGGATGCACCCCCTCACTGCCAAAAGCGGCTATGTTTAAATCCATCTATCCACTGCCCCTGATGTCGCCATTGGTCTTAGCCTTCCTCCCTGCTTCTCCAGCCCTCCCTCTGCCACCCTTTTTCCTGTTCTTCTTCTCATACTTTATGCTGCATTTCTCAGTTCTTGTCCAGGTCGATAGGTCTTGCTGCTTCCGTATCCTTCTCTGCCGCTTTTCTCCGTTCTTGTCTCTGTACGTAGGTCTAACTGCTTCTGTACTGCTTTTTCCCTCTCTGCCTTTCCAGCCCACTTTCCGCTTGCTCCAGCTCTTGTTCCTTTCCACATCCGCCTTTCTCTGCCCTATTCTTCTCATTCCAGCTCTCAATCTCCTCCCCGTCTTCCTCCATCATCGTCTTCCTCGGTTCTGACAGCTACTTTTATATTGTTCTCCACCAATCACTTCTCCCCTTGGGTCTACTTGGTGCTATGTGATAGGCTAGTAGCAATGATATAATGGCAGCAAGGGCATCAGCCTATCCCAGTGACTTCCTGTTTACCTGCTGGTGAGACCAACCCCGCCTCCTGTCCCTGGGCCCGCTGCCATCTTGTTACTGCCCCTTCCAATCCCAGGAAGTGGCTTTAGCATCCCACTCCCCACATTTGAACATTTGAATAACCAGCTTGAGAAAGTCTAAACATTCCTCTTAGAGTTCCATAACCAAGTATCAAACTTCTGCATATGCTTTCCTTTTTCTTTTTACTAAACATAGGGTATACATAAATTCGACCCTCAGAAATTAAATTCATTCCGGACCCTTAGTTGTAATTCGTACCATGAAGAACGTTAAACGCAAGTCAAAGAAAATCAATGAACACCAAACGGTGTTAAAATTCCAAAGTTGTAGAAAACTTTGCCTGATGCTTTATATTTTATTTTGCATAACTCCACGTTATCATAATTTTCTTTTTTTAACGATTTATTTACTTTTATTGGAAAGCTGGATAAAACAGAGAGGAAGAGAGACAGAGCAGAACTTCTTCTGGCCAATGGTTCACTCCCCAATCAGGCGCAACAGTCAGAGTTGTGCCAATCTGAAGCCAGGAACCAGGAGCTTCCTCTGGGTCTCCCACACAGGTACAGGGCCACTATGGCTTTGGGCCTTCCTCTACTGCATTCCCAGTCCATAGGCAGGGAGCTGGATGGAAAGCAGGGTGGCCGCAATTAGAACTGCTGACCATATGGGATCCAGGCACGTTCAAGGCAAGGACTTTTACTGTTATGCTATCACACCGAGCCCAGTTTTCTATTTTTTGTTCCTGTTTTGATTTTGTTTTATGACTTTTCATTTAAGGAAAAGCACATTAACTGTGTATTAGAGAATCCTCATAGTGAGATATGACGCTGCATTGTAACACGCAGCTTTACTTCGAAATGAAAGATGGATTCCCAATAGAAATGTTAGATGCGTCTTGAAAATAGGATGCTGGACACTCCACTGCTTTCCACACATACAATAACAGGTATTTGGACAAACGAGAGCAGAATACTATCACACACAAGGCAATGACAATGGAAAATTTTTCTTCCTGTATTGAAGGAGATGCAGCCCCTGCTGCCTGGAACCATGGTGTCAAGTCTCATCCGGGAGTTCCCCTCTTCTCCACTTAGCATTTAACCAAGGAAAAAAAAAAAGAAACAACTCTGCTGACCTTTGGGGATAGTTTATACAGATTTGGCATTAACCAGGTCCAGAATGTCTACCAGGTACTAGCGGCTTTTCTCTCAGCACTCTAATATTACCTAGGCACAAGGCAGACTAGGTAGCTATGATCCAAGTCAGATCTACTCTCCTTGAATTGTGCCTGAGAATGTGGTGGAAGATGGCCTGCATGTCAGGACCTCTGCTATCCATTAGCTTTGACATGGTCTGGTTTCAGCTGTTATGACCAATTAAGGAATAGGAAATCTCTCTCATCCTATGTCTACCTCTTTTTCTCTCTCACTTTTTCACATAAAAGTAAATAAATATTGAACACAGGCAAGATAACCATGGTAAAAAAATATATTTTAAAGTCTATGTATAGTTGTGTGTACTTTTATTTTCTACAAGTACACACATTCCTCTTTCTGACATCCTGTATTTTAAACTTTTTGACAATTTGATAAAGAAGTGGAGATTAAGAAAATGTTGAACTAATACTAGTCATCCTATAAGAGCCTCTGAAATGTCCACAGGTACTAAAAATGAAAGATGAGATATAATGTGGTTTACTTGTCAATGGAGAAGCACTGTCAAAGAGGAAATATCTGGCTTTTAGTCATATTTTTAAGGAACATTCTTTAAAAGACAGAGAGAGTGAGAGGGAGGAAGGGAGAGGAAGAGATCCTCCATCAGTTGGCTCACTCCCAATGGGCCATGAAGCTAGGCTGGGATTTCATGAAGTCAATTCCTTAATCCTACTCTACCACTGGGTGACAAGAATCCACATTCATTTTCAGCATTCCCTAATGCATTACCCAGGATTGGATCAGAAGTGGAATGCTGGGACTCAGACAGTAGCCTCCATGTGGGTCACGGCATTGCAAACAGCTGAATCTACTGAGTCTTATTATCATGAAGGTTCTTATATGTGTCCCAAAACACCATGGAATTTCCAGAAATCTGATATGCAAGCCACATTATTTTGGTTATGTGGAAATGTAATTCACTGAGATAATCAGATTTCCTTGTCCATTGCAACTCTGCTATAATAAACTTCCAATGGATTTTATGCATGGAAATTTTAAGTATTATTAAATGCTGGTAAGTGTCTTCTGAAAGCTTTTGCAAACAACCATAATCTGACAATGTCTCAACTTCCAGAAGCTTCATAGGAAAAAGTACAACAAGGACAGGTTTCTGATAACTTATCGTCCTACTAGGAAAAGGAAGAGTTCTCAGAACTCCAATGAGAAAACCGCTGTTTTCACAAATTTTCTACCCTAGCACATAGAAGAGCAACTTTCAATTACCTGATTTTAACTAATGAATGGAGATGTTCTTATGATTTAAATTTTTTTATGGATGTAAAGACAGGTTTAAGGAATTTCATAAATGAAATTCTAAGAAATTCTTGATGTTTGCCTGCCTCAGTCTGCTCTTCATTCCTTTTTCCACTGATTTTTTACAGTCGTGTAATTTCAACTATAAAATCATAACCTTAATGTCAACTAAAAAGCATAAAGTCTACAACTGTAAAGGAGTATAGACAAGGGTTAATAAAATAATCAAATTACAAGATGCTGGCTTTGTTCTTAGTCATTGTGTTCTTTTGTGTATGCATTCACATACAAGAAATTCATAAAGTAAGTTTTTTTATCTGGTTGGATTAGAATAAAATTTTAGTATAATGATTCTTAAAGTATGTTATCTAAAAAATAAACTACCAACCGAAGAAGAATAATACTGAGTTGTGTCACATAATTTTAATTTTTAAAGATTTATTTTATTACTTTTATTGCAAAATCAAATATATATATAGAGAGGAGGAGAGACAGGAAGATCTTCTGTCCAATGATTCATTCCCCAAGTAGCCGCAATGGCTGGTGCTACAATGTTCCAAAGCAAGGAGCCCAGATCCTCTTCCAGGTATCCCACGCGGGTGCATGATTGCAAGATTTTGGGCTGTCCTTAAGTGCTTTCCCAGGCCACAAGCAGTGAGCTGGTTGGAAAGCAGAGCTGCAGGGATTAGAATCCAAGCCCATATGGGATCCTGGTACATTCAAGGCTAGGACATTAGCTGCTAGGCCATGGCGACAGGAACTCACATAATGTTATTTAACAGGCATTTGTATCATGAGAAATTTGGACATTTCAATTCTGCACACATAACCTCTTGCAGTTCAAGGAGCATGTACAAAGTTATGCTAATTAAGGTTCCACCAACAGGCATCTGTTTTACATAAACAACAGAATACTACTCAACAACAATATCTTATCTTTTTGCAATAAATTCTGTGAAACTGGAGAACATTGTGTATACCTAAATAGACCAATTCTTAGAAAGACAAATTTATGTGGTAAAGAGAATACTGAATTAGTACAGGCATAAAATGCAAAAAGCAGTCTATACACTGTAAAAAATACACATGGAATGAAAAGTTGTTTAGCACATAGACTAACACCTCATACATTTTTATTGTTACATAAAATTTTAGATACCTTTTATTTCTGGAACAATGATTACTCTAGTGCTGGAAAAACATAAAAAAAAAAAATCAGGAAAACACTGTGTGCCACCAGAGAAAACACACAATACAATGCAATTATCTTTCATTTGCATTATACGCAGAGCAATTAAACATTAAAATATATAAAACCAGACAGTGAAAAGACTAAGCAAGCTCTGCTTCCTCCTCTGATAAAGTCATGTCAGTATATGACCCTGAAACTGAGACATGAGTCACTGACACTGCTCAGCATCAACACTGTGAGCTTCACTATCATTTATGGAACAACAGTTTTTTTATAGCCTTCTTCATGTCTGTGTTCCTCAGGCTGTAGATGAAGGAGTTCAGCATGGGGGTGACCACTGTGTACATCTTCAAGGCTGCTACAGTTGAGGCTGAACTTGGGGCAGCACTGGCACTGAGGTACAAACCTATGCTTGTGCCATAAAATAGAAAGATGGCAGAGAGGTGCGAGGCACAGGTGGAAAAGGCTTTATGCTTTCCCTGAGCTGAGGAGATGGCACAAATGGAGGAGATGATCTTGGAGTAGGAGAATAGAATCCCAGTTAATGGACCAACTAAAAATAGCACAGTTGCAAAATCCATCATGAGGTCATTGAGAAAGGTGTCAGAACAGGCTCTGTGGACCACCTGATTTGTCTCACAGAAGAAGTGAGGAATTTCCATGTGTGTGCTGAATCTCAGCCTCAGGACCAGTAAGCTGTGTAAGACACCATCCAGGACATTGATGGTCCAGCACACCAGAACCAGCTGCGTACAGAGCTGGGAATTCATGATGACCATGTAGTGTAGGGGGTGACAGATGGCCACAAATCGGTCATAGGCCATTACAGTCAGGATAAAGTCATCCAAACCACCAAACAATATGAAAAAGAACATCTGTGTGATGCATCCTGCATAGCTGATGGCTTTGCTGTGCATCTGGATGTTCACTAACATCTTGGGGATGGTGGTGGTGGTAAAGCAAATGTCCACCATTGACAGGTTGGTGAGGAAGAAGTACATGGGTGTGTGGAGGTGTGGGTCTGAGAGGATGGCCAGGATGATGAGCAGGTTCCCACTGAGAGTGACCAGGTGCATGGAGAGGAATAACTCAAAGATGATAGGCTGCAGTGCTGGGTTCTCTGAGAATCCCAGGAGAAGGAATTCGGAAAGCTGAGTTTGGTTGCTCAGTTTCATGTGGTACACAATACTATGAGGAAGAAGTAAATAGAACTGAATCATATTTATGCAAAATAGACTTAATCAACAGAGAAGAAATCAAAAATTCATGTTTTCCAATTCAGAATGTAGCTTTCACATTTGAAATGGCTTATTTCCTTAGCGTCCCACACAGTGGATTACTGACTATGAATTCCTTCCTACCCTCAGTATTCTCCTAAAACATCAGAAACTTATCTCATTGCATGTGATGGTCTTTGATCACTTGAAAAATAATTATTTATCAGTGATTTCAAACTCATCATGTAATTTCCATTGAAATTCTTTTTCCATGTATGAAATAGAAAGCAGGGAATGAAGCAGTGTATAATATGTAGTTCCAACTATCATAGTAATGGGATTCAATTCTATTTATAAAGTGAAGTATACTTAATTGGTTTTACTGGATGCAGAAGTGCTTTGACTTTTAGTAAATAACTCAATCATGTTAAGAAAAGTGGAATCACAAAGAATGCCAAATCATAAGTGCAACTCAACATGGAGCAGGTTGGAAATATACATACAACTAAATTATTAAGACTCTGTTTGCACAATCAAAATTTTGTAGATTTCATAATAGCAGGGTTCAAACCCAGGATGAGTCTTTGACTTTGACGACAGAAAAATAGGAGCTTTCACAAGTTCTCTTAAAATTGAGTAAAGGTTCATCAAAATGTTTTTAAAAATGCAGCTAATAAATGCATTTTTGGTGCATCTATTTTGTGAAATAAAAGGTTCTCCAAATTTTGATGAGGTTAGTATGGATTAGGGTATTTTTGCAACATTGTGGATCATAACAATCTACCTTCTAAATACATTTTTCATTGCACTGAACTGCATTCAAGGACACAACAAAGAACTCCATGGCAGAAAACATAAAGATGTCAACGGTGATTAATCGTTTTAGGTCAGAACAGTAAAGACAGGAATAAGCCAGGCCTACCTGATAGCTCACCAGGAAAGTGCTGAAAAATTGCAGGAGAGAATGCAAGGGGCTGGAAACTCCTGAGTGTATCCAACTCACAGATGATTCAATGACTTTTGAGCAGGTGTCTTTGATGGAGCTCTTTTTACTGCATCAATAAAATAACATTGAGTCATGTGAGAGTGATGTGTGAGAGAAGACAGAAGACTGTTAGATGTGTTTGTTCCAGTAGCTGCTATTCTCAGGATATTCATGCAAGCATTTCTTCTCCCCTGGCCATTTCCTGTCAATACTGGGAGAGTTTGTTACATTCTTTTTTATCAATCAAAATTGGCAGAGTTGTAACTCAGACTTAGAGGCTGTCCCAGGGTCAGCAGTTAGTCGTCACCTCTCCTCTAACCAGCTTTGAGTGGTGAATAATCAATCTCTCTCACACTCCAAAACTGACATGACCTCACTCCACCACATGTCCCTCCACACAGAAAATTCTTTCTCTACTCACCAAGATCTCTAAATGCTGCAAAGCCGAGCATATGTAATCGAGGAAACTCATACCACTCATTTTCTACTAGAATTATTCTTTTCTAGCCCTCATTTTATTATTAGTAATTCTTATTTCCATAGGACATTCAGCATTTTCCTCATCCTTGAATCAATGACAAGTACATTCAATAGTTCAATATAGCAGTGGGTAACCTCAGACCTATCCCAGGTGTTAGCTACATTAGTCCAGTTCTAGGTTAACCCCAGGGCCAGCTGTCTGTGTCTACAGTTTGGAAACACTGCTGCAATGTGTGACAGGCTCACCTGCATGGCAACTTTATGACTTAATTGTCTGTATGAATGCCCAAATCGCTTCCTGGATGGTGGATGCTGCAGGCTGAAGCTCCATCCCAGGCATAGCATAGAGTAGGAGGGAGGCTCTTACCCTTGAGCCAATTTCAGGACTCCAAATGCAAGAAGCAGGCTGCTTCTAGCCCAAGGTTGTAGTGTCTTAGAGACCAAAGCAGAGGAGCTACTTACAACTCCTGGCCCCTGCTCATTAGGCAGCTCCCTTAACTCCAAGCACCTGCTGGCCCTGAGGGAATGTGACCATGACACAACGCCATTTACTTGCAGGTGTTTCCCAAAAGACCATGTTGGACTCAGCTGAATATCTTTCTCCTGCTCTGTAATCTCTGTTATAATGAACTTTCACTGAAATTATGCATGGATATTTAATGCCTTGTTAAGTACTGTTAAATGTTTTACAGAAGCTCATCTCATGGGAAGAATTACAACAAGGACAGGTTTATCATAACTTATAATCCTATGAGGAGTAGGAATATTTCTCAGAACATCAATGAAGAAACATGTGTTCTCACAAAGTTTTTTTAAAAAGATTTATTTATTTATTTTTTATTGAAAGGGTGGATGTACAGAAAGGAGGAGAAACAAGAGGAAAATCTTCCATCTGACGGTTCACTCCCCAAGCAGCCATAATGGATGGAGCTGAGTCAATCTGAAGCCAGGAGCTCTTCCGGGTCTCACACCTGGGTGCTGGGTCCCAAGGCTTTGGATTGTCCTCCACTGCTTTCCCAGGCCACAGCAGGGAGCTGAATGGGAAGCGGTGCTGCTGTGATTAGAACTGGCTCCCATATAAGATCCTGGCACATGTAAGCAAGGACTCTAACCACTACGCTATCACACCATGCCCCTCATAAAGTTTTTATCTAAGCACCAATGATAGCATTATTTATATTGCATGAGTTTAACAAATGGGTGCGAATTTTAGAGAAACTTTAAACTTTTTATGGATATGAGAACAAATTTCAGATATTTCATAAAAAATTCTAAGAAATTAGTTATTCCTGCCTCAGACTCATGCAATGTGAAAAGTTTATGATAATTTAGGAAAAACCTTAGGGTGGCAAGGAATAGTTTGTGGGACCAGAAGGAATGAAGTGAGCTGCAACCAATTATTCTAAAATATATATTTTTTTCTTTTTATGACTCATTGGCATTCCATTGTGTGTGTAGTTCATGTTTTTTAATTCTATCATTTCCTCATGGACATCCAGTTTGATTCCATATCTTAGCATTTAAGATTTCATAGTTTACAAATGTCTGTTCATGATTTTAAGAATATTTCATTTTAAGGGAAGAGGGCTGGTGGAGCCCTGCATTCACTCAATTGTTCTCTACAAGCATGAATCACCAGGTCGTAGGTGATATCTCAAGTAATTGGTTCCTGACATCCATGTGTGAAATGTAGATTGAGTTCCTGGGTCCTGGATTACAGCTGGCCGAGCACTGGTTATTGTGGGAATTTGGGGAGTTAGCCAGTAGATAGCCAGCTTTTCTCTCTCTATTTATCTCTCTCTCTCTCCCTCTCCCTCTCTTTCCCCCCACCCCCCGTTTAGAGGGACTCCCATGTGCAGTGAATACAAAAGCCTTGAGGGTCTAAACATAGCACTGTGCTGGATAGCAAATGACAACTCTCCCAGTAAGTTCATTAGCATGCCATAAGCTAGGAAGGACATGTGTGACCCAAAACTCAGAATCTTGGTGATGAAAAGTAGCAGAATCTTGGTGTAACCTGGGAAGACGTATAATGTCTATAACCTAACCACCCAGACCACTGCAGCATGTGAATTTGCATAACAGGAGGTAACATGCGAAATAAGATTGCTAACTAAACATAAGAAGATTGCAGCAAGCTATCAGTGAGAGGCTTGTGCCATTACAGTCACTCTTTCCATGTATAAGGGAGGAGTTGAGGTGGAGTTAAAGGATGCCTGAAAGGGTCTGTGCTACTACTGACACTGAAGGTGCAGGAAGAGCCAGGAGTCAGTGACACAAGCTGATTCCAAGAACTGCAAGAGGCAGGTAAGGGGTTCTCCCTTGAAGCCTGCGGGAGGAACCAGAACTTCAGGCAATTTGATTTCACCCAAAGGATGCATGCATGTTTGGCCTCTAATCTGCACAGACACAGCAAGATACATTGGTTCTTTTCTGGAGAAAAGAAATTTACATATTACTTATTTTAAAGACAAAGTGATAGGCTGAGAAAAATTAAGAAAAGAGAAAGATCTTCATGCTCTGACTCATTCCTCCAGTGGAGGCAGCAGCTTTGGCTGGGCCAGGCCAAAGTCAGGAGACAGGAGCTCCATTTGTTTCTCCCCTGTTGGGTGGCTGGGACCCAAGCACGTGGGTCACCATCTATAGCCTTCTTGGGCGCTTTAGCAGAACACCGGATCAGATTTAATTAGGAAACAAACCCACAGTCACAGTTGAGATACTCATTCCCAAACAGACCAGTTCCATGCCTCCCCTAAACTTGTCTTCTCATCCTATTGTATAGAAACTTGGGAATATCTTGCATTTGTGGTACAAATTTGGTAATAAATAGGGAAAGTGGGAAAACAGTAGATAACAAATCAGTTACGTATGAGAGGTCAGAGAAATCTAATAACATGAGTTAATGAAACTGTGTGTGCAAGATGAAATAGACAGAAGGCATCTGAGAGAGATGGATCAGGGTCAACTTCTTTAATCTGATTCAAGAATCAGAGTCTCTGTGACTTAGGCTTCAAGCCCTGCATTTGTGGGATCAGAGCCACGAGTCCTGTTAGAACTTCCTACAACAGAGTCTTTTCAAAGCTCTCTTTAGGTCGCTGTTCCTAAAACTGTAGATGAAGGGGTTCAGCATGGGGGGTGACCACAGTGTACATCACCGAGGCTGCTGCAGATGAAGTTGACCTGGGAGCAACCCCAGAACGGAGATACACACCCATGCACACACAATGAAATAACACAACAGCAAAGAGGTGAGAAGCACAGGTAGAAAATGTTTTATACTTCGGCTGAGTTGAAGATATTGCACAAGTGGAGGAGATTATTTTGTAACAGGAGTAAAGGATCCCAGGGAAGGCACCCCCAACAACAAGAACAACAACAACAAAAAACTGTAAAATAGATGACTATGACATTAACAATGGTGTCTGGACAGGCACTGTGGATCACCTGCATTAGCTCATAGAAGAACTGGGCAATTTCTAAGTCTATGCAGAAG